AGTAAGGCTGATCTCCAGGCCTTCTTGGGACTCATTAATTTTTACAACATCTTCTTGCCTCACAAGGCAACAGTAGCCGAACCCTTACATCGACTTCTCGACAAGAAAGCTATTTGGGTTTGGGGTCACAAAGAAGAGCACTCTTTCAGAAAGGTGAAAGACTTATTAACCTCCAACGCTGTGCTAATGCAGTACAACGAGATTTTGCCATTAAATATTACGTCCGACGCGTCACCGTTTGGGGTTGGAGCCACTTTGAGCCACGTGTTACCAAACGGGAATGAGGCTCCTATTGCGTACTTTTCCCGCACGTTATCAAAGGCTGAATGAAACTATAGCCAACTTGACAAAGAGGCTCTTGCTATTGTATCGGCCGTGAAGCGATTTCACGAATATGTTTACGGGCAGCCCTTTACTCTAGTTACAGACCACAAGCCTTTACTTGGCATTTTAGCAGGTGATAAACCAACGCCGCATATATTGTCACCTAGAATGACTCGCTGGTCAGAATTCCTAGCAGCCTACAACTACGTACTGCAGCATCGCCCGGGGAAAGCCATTCCCCACGCTGACGCTTTGAGCCGTTCCCCACTTCCGGAAACTGTCAGCGACCCAGCTCCGACCATCACTACGCTGCAAATTGAAACCCTCAACTCGCCGCCACTAACGGCAAGAGATATCGCTGCCGGCACAAAACGAGACTCTATCCTCGCAAAAGTTCTCAGTTGGGTCGAACGCGGGTGGCCAGTCGAAGAAACCCCCGCCACTTTTGCGCCGTTCAAGCACCGGCAAACGGAACTATTCTCCCAGAAGGGCTGCATCCTATGGGGAGATAGAGTCGTCGTGCCAGAGAGACTACAGCGACTCGTGTTGCAAACCCTGCACGAAGGACATCCGGGCATTGTCCAAATGAAGGCTCTCGCTCAAAGCTACGCGTGGTGGCCAGGAATTGATAAACAAATTGAAGCCTGGGTAACCACGTGTAGAAACTGCCAAGAGGTCAGCAACGCCCCACCGAGAGCAACCCCCACCGAATGGGAAACTCCTCGAGGCCCATGGTCCCGCATCCACATTGATTTCGCGGGACCCACTAAAGGACACACTTTTCTCCTAACCGTGGATGCTTACTCCAACTGGCTCAAAATCCACAAGATGAAAAGCACGACGACTGACTCCGTTATTAAAAAACTAGATAGATTATTTGCAACACATGGTTTCCCGGACATTCTAGTTTCCGACAACGGACCCCAGTTTACTGCCCTCACCTTCGAACAATACTTGGCGGACCAGGGCATCCGCCATGCCTTAACTTCGCTGGCTCACCCTGCGGCAAACGGTAGGGCGGAACGGATGGTCCAATTCCTTAAAAAGACACTACAAAAAATGGATCCGGGGGACATCGATGCTAGATTGAACAAAATACTCTTACTACAACACATTACCCCCCACAGTGTCACCAACAAGACTCCAGCCGAACTTCTAATGGGGCGGAAGCTTCGCTCCCACCTCGACCGATTACACCCGTCTTATTCGCCAGAGAAACCTTGTGGATCCAGCGGAATGTATCGCCAATTCAAGGTAGGCGACTTGGTCTACGCCAAAAACCTTTCCGGCGAATCGTTGTGGGTCCCAGCCACCGTAGTCTACCTCACTGGCCCTAGATCTTACCGCCTTAAGACGACAGACGGCAAGATATGGAAACGCCACATAGATCAACTTCGATCTCACTTACAACCCAATATCCGTGACCCCCCGGACTTCCAAACTCAAGGGGGAGGGAATACCGAGGGGGACGAAGGCCGTATAGACGACGACGTAATCGAGGACAGACGGCCGCTAAACCGAGTACTCGCGCCACCTGAAGAAGGTCCGGGATCGGGGGCATCCTCCCCGCAGAGGAACACCGTAGTGGAAACATGCCCGCCCGATCAAGGAATGGACTTAAGGGACCCTGATAGTGTCGAAAACAGCACTGCAGAATCAACCCCGTGCGAAGACGAGCCTTGCGTTCCACCGGAACCGAACTTTAAACAAAAACCGGTGGAACAGCGAAAATCAAATAGGCAGGTAAAACGACCTGCATACCTGCGTGATTATGTCACCACGGCCGTCAAACGGAACCCAGGGGGGAGGGGTGCTGTGAACTAAAGAAATGTAATTAATAAAGATTCATTTGCCTAGCAGGATCGTAATCCTGCACTTCCTATTGGCCCATATAATGGCAAGTTATGATTGGTTCATTCCGAGCAATCTGACTGGCTGTTGGCGGGCCGCGCCAAGATTCAAACGCTATAACACTATCCATTGGTTATCCGGATAGCAGCTTACTCTATAAAAGAGTGACTGCTAGCCGGGTTTTTTTTGTCTCTGTTATGCTTGTGAATAAAGAGCTGAAGTTCAAGGTTTACAGTCTGGTCTCCGTTCATTAAACCCATGCCTCAAACTTAACAATTATGACTTCTCCAGGGAGTTTGGTTTTCATATAATGTGTCCAAACTTCAAAAATTTGAATGTGGTCATTTGTACCTTGAGTAAAAATTCTAAATTGACTTGTAGGATACATTTAAAAGCATCAATATTTTTTCTATGTTGTTACTTGAAAGTCCATAGAATATTATAAGACAATTCTGGACTTTGGAGATAGGGACACCTTGTGATATCTGAATACCTTTTCCAAAGCCTTGGAAGCCTTCCAATCTTCTTGGAATCAATTACTAACTGTCCACTGACATCCTTAACATGTTAGTTTGAGGTTAGAACCTCCTTCTGAATGATAGGTTAAATAAAGGAATGTAGTAATGGTACATTTTTCAAATTCCCAGGATCTATGGTTTTATAGATTACAACATGTTAACCCATTTTATACCTAGATTACTATAATTACACATCATTCTAAATAATTGGACACTTATTTGTGAACCAGACAAATTTAATTTGTAATATAATCAGCTTCAACTTGGTGTTCGTGAGGAGTGTTGGATCATATTATTCACCCATTGCAATATCTGGAAAAGTGCTTGATATTTTAAACAGAAGATGATTTGATTTTTGATTTTGTTTTAAAATAAGCTAAATGATATGAATCAATCACAAGATGCTAATTAAGTAGTGTAGTGTATGACAACACAAGAAATTAAATTTTAAACAGCTACGTTGGTAGAATAAATACATATTTATGTGCTTTAGTTAACACTGATATAGACAGAACTATAGTAAGAATTCATTAAGGAAACAGAGGCATGTGTAAGCATTTGTGTAGCTGTGAATATCTTGGGGCTGACTTGACACTATTTTAATTTATCTTTTGTCTCACCCTTCCAGGAGAAAAGAGCAGAACTGGATGTTGAATTTTCATTGGAAAAATGGTGAAGTGTTTTCCTTCTTCCATCATGATGTAATAATATGCAGACATATTCTTTAATTCATGTTTCATTTAAACTTAAACTATTATTGGAGTATTCAGCATTGCAATTATTTGTCAGCTCTTCTGGGGAGGCCAGATGGAGAAATAGACATCACAGTAATTCCATGAATGGTCTTTTATTTTTGTAAGATTTATTAACAGAACCTTGAAAACCTTTTAAAAACCTTTCTAATGTAATGCCCTTCTGAGGGCAACATGCATGATACACTTGTGATCAGGTGTTGAATCCCCTTTATTCTGGATATTTCTGTATTTTGGACTAATTTTCTTATTAGAACTGAAAGTTTTACAATTTTTATATCTACTGAATGTTATTATTTTCATTGTGCTGCTATTTTTATTTATATAGTCAGAAAAGTAAGCAAACATTTTTATTTCCACAGCAAGCATCCTTCCTCTAAGGTCATCACTAATGGAGTTCTTGTGGTGAGTAAAGGGAATAATAATGGTTATTGAGACTCTTAATAGATAAAAGATTTGCATATATAAGTCATCAGCCTATTTTTAAGCCTAAAAAGAAAAGAATAATTAATACATTTGCATAGTCATTTCTCCCCAATTGGATTTTTGTTTTGTTTTTTTATGTAGGCACAACCTTGTCTGTGTATTAAAGGAACTATCAATAAAAGTAAGATGGCTCCATGGATAATAAGGGGTAGGTCCTTTGTAACCACAGTTCTTTGAAAGAAGGCTATGACATGTCTCCCTGACTCATACACCAAGTGCTAATATGAGTGAAATAAATATGATTATTCAAATATACATTTTTCACACATTCTAATCCCTGAAGGCTGGTGTATGGTACAGATACAGTGATAGTGCACTGGAATTATTGCAGAAAGTTTTAGCTGTAGAAAGTCAACTACTAAGCTGTGTCTTTGCTCCAAGCCCCATAACCAATGGAAAGCAAACCTGCATAACTTAAACTGATCTTCTTTACTTAAGGCTCCTAAATCTGGGTGGCAAAATTTGCTGTCTTACTTTGTTGTTTGTGCCACAGTGATGTTTCCCAGGCTGGCATTCTTGGCTATAATTCCCGGAATCCTAAACTAAATTCCCAAAGAGTCTTTAGCCAGGAACTTTTTTTTTCTTACGAAGACACTCTACAAATTGTATTTGATGAGCTGCTGCTCTTCCCCCCCACAGTTCTTTGACTTCTGATTTTGTGATTTATTTCGTATTAGACTAGTTAGCTGAAGTCTCTGCTGCCTTATCTTTTTAAAAGGCAAAGTAGTTGCTTACTGTAATGTGCTGTCCAGACAGTTTAGAGTTAATTGGGAATTGGGATAGATAGTTAGGAATTGGGAGCTGTCTCCTTAAGGGAATGCATCATAGTAAATGTAGTTAAGGCATCCTGGGAAATGTAGTCCATTTCATTGATTGGTCACTGAATTGACCCTTGGTGGGTTGGGGGGGGGTTCCTTCACTCTTGCCTGGACCCCAGCAGTGTGCTGGTACCTCACCCCCTTGCTCCTTCATTATGGGGATGAAAAAAGCACTATCCATTGACACTATGAATTCAGCTATGCAAAGATTTGGACATTGAGATGAATCTTGAAGCAACCGTGAGTTATATATGAGGGTAACTGATGAACCAATAAAGAAACTTTGTATGAAAGCCTTTGTGGAGTTTAATCTGTCTGCTTTTATATTCAGCTAGTAATTAAAGGAAAGAACAGTAACAGAGGACAATTTGCTTAGAATTGCTTCTTGTGATACAGTACAATTCTTCAAGAGAGAGATTTTCTTTAAAAAAAAAAGATGTTTAAAATCGACCCATGTATGGGAAAAATAATAGTCTGGATTTTCTCAATATGCTGCTTTTGCTTAGTATCATTCAATTGTTGTGTTCAGTATATTTCAACAAGGAATTATTTCTTCAGCAGAAAATGTATCTGTTTGCTAGAAAGTTGTCTGGGGACCTTCGTTATAACCAATCAAAGCAACATAACAATAAAGCAATAATGTATTAAACTTGCATTACATTATAAACATAATATCATTGGTACTTGAGGAACACTCAAATTATTCTCCCTCCCTCTCTCCCTCCCCCTCAACACCCCACTACCACTACTACCTCCTCCTCCTCGATCACCAGGCAAGAGGGTTAACATTCTGTTTCCAGGGTTCTGTGGAAAAACCGTGTTTTTTTCATGATATCCTTAAAAACCAATTGGTTTTAAACACTTCTTTTCACTTTTAGACAATTGCCAAATTAACTTATCAGTACCAGGGTCCTTTGAAAATCAGTTAACCATGTTCTGTGGAGAAAATTTAGAAGAAAACCATGAGGAGATTCCATTTATCTTTCATGTGAACAAAGAAGTGTCTTCTCACCTGAACCTGAAATTGTTACAAACCATAGCAATACTAGAGGTAAGATGGTGCATTTGCTTGCTAGAGCCTCAGTTATTAGAGCAAGCATCCCCCTTTGAACAAATAGGCACATATAATGGCTCCATAATTTTATACAAATTTATAAGGGAAAAAATAAGTAAACTGATGAGTGGTATTTCATCTGCCAGCAGTGGCTTTATAAATATATCCATCAATTCTGCCTTAAGCAGGCAATTTTATTTCATTGAGTCCTGAAAATATTTTTAAATGAACCCATAATAAAGTTAAGCGCCATAACTGATAAAGTAACCCCATAACTGAGCACTAGTTATCATTATTTCTCAGTGGTCCCAAATTCACCTAGAATAATTTTAAAGAAACAACAACAACAAAAACCCTGCATCTGTAAAAATTTGGGATGGCAGTAGAAGTAGTAGCCCATGAGAAGAATCAATGCTTATGTTCTAGGCATCCCAGGCATTTTGCTGCTGATATTGGCCTTCTGCTAAAGTTTGCATTCCCATTTTCCTCTTTTGGGATGGACTTCCCTCTGGCATGTACGTAGCTTTTATATAATCTGATTTACAGCAACTTTGTTTGGTTCCTAGGAAGGATGGAGTGAGGATTTACAGGTGAAGACTTCATTGGTTGGGAATGCAATTATTCCAGTCTCTGAACTCCCTCTTGGAAAGGAAGTGGAATTGACTGTACCTCTAGGAAGGGTAAATGTTGAAGTCTTTGTGTCAAAGTGATAGGCATGATATGAAACCTGGTGCTGACTCTGTATTGTACAATGTTGTCGGGGAAAGTACTTTTTATATCTCAAGTTCTCATATTTCAGCATCTCAGAGAAAGGACAATCTTTTTATTTATTTATTTATTTTTGTCAATTGATTACAAGATAATAGTTATAAGCAAAAACATAGTTATGAATACATGGATACATATAAGAAAAATAAAAAAAAAGGAATAAAATAAACAATAGCACAGGGACGGTAGGCACGTTGGATAAAATTTTATTTTATCTCATTTTTTTCTCTCTTTACAACTTGGGGTTCCATATTATTGTTATCACTCATTTTTTTAATCATGCTTTTTATAATTTTGGCCAACTTAAAGGAGCCAATATTCCTGCCTCTTGTTTTTCTTACAACAATAAGGTGAATTGGGCTGAAAGACAGAGTGTGACTGGCCCAAGATCACCCAGCTGGCTTTCATGCCTCTGGCAGAACTAGAATTCAATCTCTTGGCTTCCAGTACTTGAATCACTACAACAAACTGGCTCTCTATTATGATGATGTGTGATTTTCTTTGCAATATCTTTTATAAAGCTAGCATGGAAAAATATATCTCCAAGAATATGGAAGCTGCCATATACGTATATTGCTTCATACCACCTCCTGGCTTCTTAGCATTTTTTTTTCTTTGCTGAGGTGTGACACCAGGGTGTTGTTGTACACTCTTTTACTTATTTGATTAAAGGGAGCAGAGTTATTTATTTTTACCTTTAGCAAAACCTCTACAGCCTGAGGTCAAAATGATCATTGTGATAGAACAACTTATAGTTGCTTATTTCTATGTGCCTCTACTATATTGGCTAGCTCTTGACTCAGGAATGGTGGTAAACGAGGACAAGTAATGTGTAACATCAATGATTGTTTTATGAGAAATTAAAGAGACAAAGTGTTGTCTACATAAAAGTCCATAGACCCTTTTAGCAAACCATGTGGCATACCTATGAAGAAAAGGAATATCTTCACTTAATGCTGCCTGTTTTAACAAACACATTAGTATGAAGGTTTGGATCATAGCAGAGGTAGAAAAAGAGCAAGGGAGTTTTCTTAATACCAAAATAAATTTTGTATTTTGCATTAGTAAATTTAGCAGGATTCTACTTCTTCCAGGATCAAGCTTTGGATCTGACCATGAAAGTTGAAGAAAGGTGTGTACATCAGAAAATATCTGAAAATCAAGATACAGCATCACTATTATATATAAGATCAAGTACAAATTAAAATATCTGTGTTGAAGAAAGGGATACTAGGGTTGTAAGCTAGAGCGGGAAATTGAAAAAATATCTCAGAAGGCGGCTGTGGCAAAACATTTCCAAGGAAGCCACACGATGTATTCATGAAGACACTAGGAGTGAGTTTGACCTGAAGGAGACCTTATAGTGCTGTGATTTACATTATGTCTAAATAATGGGGTAAACTGGCTTTCAGTATTATGGATTTAAGGAAAAAAATATGCTTCTGCTGGTTAAAACAAAGAATAATGACATGCAGTTGATTTTTCACTATATACTGATGTCAATTAAATGGAAGGGTAGAATCTGGATATTTTTATATATTTTTTCCTTTCTAGGAACCATCCTATTGATATGGATGTGCGTATTGGCTTTAAACTTTCTAAGGGAGAGGAAGAATTTTTGGCAAGGAGAAGGACTATTGTTTCTCATGCTTTCAAGAAGGTATTAAAGCTGAGGGTGCCACCCTGGAAATATGAGGTAGAAAACTCATTTTTATCAATATATTTGCTAAGATCGCTTCTTTCAGGGGTTAACAAAGCTTTCTTTTTGTTTTCTTTAGAGGTACAGTTTAAACTTGAGGAATTGAGTACATGTTTAATTTTGGAAAAAAAAAAAAGCTCATTTTTTCCCCTTGATTAGCTGGAATTGACATCCTCAGGCAGTGTTTATCAAATTTGGCAACTTTAAAATGTGTGGACTTCAACAGCCAGGATTCCTCAGGCAGCATTAAGAGCAATGGGAGCACAAAGAGAAACCGAATCCTTCCTTGACCAGTTAAATTAGTTGAGCCTAAGAAATCCTAGCTAAATTCACAGATATTTTAGCAATGCAAAATTTATTTTTAAGGAAGAAAATGCTATGGGGCAAATGCTTTCTTCTTGTTCTCATTTTATCGTTCCTGTTTACTCTGTAAGATAACATTAGAAATGATATATACAGGTAGTCCTTGGCTTATCACAATGGGGACTGGCACTTGCATTGCTAAGTCATGTGGTCATTAAGTTAATCACAACTAATTTTATGACTTTTTGCCATGATTGTTAAGCAAATCACATGGGAACTTCCCTCATTGTCTGATGAACAATACCCATGTGATATGCTTCTCTCAAAGCCTCCTGGGAAGGTCACAAATGGCAATCACATGATCCCAAGACACTGCAACTGTCATTTATTTATTTATAAAATTTATTTGCTGCTTATCTTGTATCCAATGACTCATAAATATTTGCTGGTTGCCAAGTTTCCAAATTTTGATCATAGCATCTGAGGATGTTATAATAATAGACAGACTACAACACAGGTGTTACATTTGATCATGTCATGTGACATATTGTGATGTATCATGACATTTTATGCCTTTGCGGAGCCAGGGTAGGTGTGGCCTGCGCATGATGCATCCGGCCCATGGGCTGCCAGTTTGGCACCCTGGACTACAAGAACCAGTCACAAGTCTCTTTTTTCAGCAATGCAGGGGTGGGATGCTACCGGTTCTGCCTGGCTCTGTAGAACCGGTAGTTCTGAAAAGCAGCAGACACAGAACCGGTTCTGTGTCTGCTGCTGTTTGGCCCACATGCCACCCGGGCTCTCACCTGTCCTTTATTTCCTGCTTTTTCTACCTCAGCTGCTTTGTGCGGCACAGCTGAGGTTGAAAAAGCAGGAAAAAAGGCATTTTTCAAGTGCTGTGCACCCGCGCAAAGCGCTTATCCAGCTGTCCGGGAGGCACAGCTTTTGTCATATTATACACGTGCTCAGGATAAGTACCGAACCAGTAGTAACAGCGGTTGAATCCCACCCCTGCAGCTATGTCATAAATTTTAATGGTTGTTAATTGAAAGTTGTAAGTCAAAGTCTACTTGTATATGTATCATCCAAAGGAAAAAAAAAAGGATCACTTTTATCTGTCAAGAACATCTGTCTGTTTTTCTAGGTTCCTATAGTGGCTGTTTTAGCTTCTGGAGGAGGGATGAGAGCAATGACCAGTTGTTATGGCAGCCTGTCTGGGCTACAACAGCTGGGCCTCTTAGATATCCTCACATATTTTAGTGGCATCTCAGGGTCTACATGGTATGTATCTATAGTTTGATATTGACTTCTTCAATATCAAATTGATAAGAATACAATAAGAAGAGATGGCCTTGATTCCTGTCACTTAGTAATTGGCTTAACTGTTATGACATAGCCTATTAGACATGGTATAGCCTTATGCTACTGGAAACTGTTGATATTGTATTTGGCAAGTGTGAACAGAATAAAGTTGAACTTGGTAAGAATGCTGCCAAGATGCACAACAACATGATAGAGTGAGGAATGGCCGTCTTTAAACAGAAGGTATAACTGCATGCAGAAACAAATCCTTTCTTAATTGGTTTATAAGGCCTTGATAAAACCACACTTGGAATACTGCATCCAGCTTTGATCACCACAATATAAAAAAGATGTTGAGACTCTAAAAAGATTGCAGAAAAGAGCAACAAAGATGATTAGGGGACTAGAGGCTAAAACATATGAAGAATGGTTGCAGGAATTGGGTATGTCTGAAGTGACATGATAGCAGTATTTCACTATCTAAGGGGCTGCCCCAAAGATGAGGGGGTCAACCTATTCAAAGCACCTGAAGGCAGACATGAAGCAATGGATGGAAACTAATCAAGGAGAGAATCATTCTAGAACTAAGAAGAAATTTCCTGACAGAACAATCAGTGGAACAAGTTGCTTCCAGAAATTTTGGGTGCTCCAGCACTGGAGGTTTTTAAGAAGAGATTATACACCCATTTGTCTGAAATGTTATAAGCTTTCCTGCCTGATCAAATGGCCTAGAAGACCTGCAAGATCCCTTCTAACTTTGCTATTCTATTAAGTGAGCAATGTGGGCTGGCTTAATCTGCGAAGACTTTTTATATGGAATTACAATAAAATTGTAATAAAGGGGGTAGGGGGGAATTCTTAAAGTCTGGGAGGCCACTTTAAATGGTGAGATTGTAAGACAATGTTTCTCAACTTTGGCAAGTTTAAGAAGTATGAATTCAACTCCCAAAAATCCCCAGTAAGTAGGATCCCTAAATTTGCCTTTGTTTTTGAGAAATGTGACTGAGAAGTCATCATAAATGAGCATGAAGTTGGCATACAGTAGAGACAGTGTTTGATCATTTCATTTATGGTGTGCATAGTACCGTAAAAAGGAGGTTAAAATACAAAGAATGTGGAGAAAACAATTATTTTGATCTTCTCTAGAATTTAGTGAGAGTATTTCATTGAAAAGAACTTTTTATCATAGTAGGTTTAAATTACACTCCTACACTGACTTAAATGAGTTTGGAATTTATCCTAGCTCAATTCTTTTCCTAATTCATTTCTATTTCTTGCAATATAGCACCAACTTCAGAGATGCTGTGTTGTTATTTTATTCCAGTCCTAATGGAATATGTTATACAAGCGAAACTACGCCTGATATCCAAGCAATTAATTTACTGCCTATTAAATATTGGAATTATTTGTAGATATTCCATATCTTTTTTTTTTAACTGAAATTCAAAATTATGGTTTTGGTAGGTGTATGTCTATGCTCTACAAAGACGCTTACTGGTCGCAAAGAAATCTCCAGAATGCAGTTGGCAGTGCTCAGAAAATTGTAACAAGTGGAAAAGTTGGGGCATTTTCTGCTGAACAACTCGCATATTATTTTCAGGAGTTAATTGCTTTGGAGAAAACAGGAAGGAAAGCTACCCTTGTGGATTTATGGGGCCTTATCATAGAGTACATTCTAAACAACAAGGTAAAAATTCGCACCCTAAAATTTGTGAAAGAAGTGTTATAATATTATGAGGTAGCTTGTTTCTAACTTTAAGACTAGAAATAAATACAATACCTCAGTAGTAACTAAAATGCATTATTACTAAGAGATAACCAGTTGATGTAGTGGTGGTGGAGGTAGTGGTGTTGGTGATTTAGGGTAAAAAAGGAGATGTAAGTTCTAGTCCTGCCTCAGGCACAAAGCCAACTGGGTGATTTTGAGACAATCTCTGTCTCTCTGTCTCTGTCTCTCTCTGTCCTAAGAAAGAGACAATAGCAAATCACTGAAAATCTTGTCAAGAAACTGCCTGAATTAGTTCAAGTAGCTAGCAGATGTCACCAATGATGCAAAGGCACTAAAGATAAAAATATTACTAAAATATTATTATAAATGGTATAATTATAATGCTTATAATTTCTTGAATGAATAATATTTTTGAATATGTGCCAAACTGCAGAGAAAACATATAAAAATATGCCGTTGTGTGTTGCTTAATAGGATGATGTTGAAAATTTAATTTTAAGGTATTAATCCTGCATGGGATTGATTGATTATTTATGTGATGCATTGAAGGTTATGATGGCTGAGAACACATTAGCTTCCCAATAAATGATACAATCAAAATATAAACAATTTTAATTTTCTATAGGAATGGTACATCTTTGACACTAGTGGGAATTGCTACCAAAGATGAAGAAGATATAAATCTAGGCAATTTAAATGGGTAGAACTATTGACTAACTTTTAGTATAGTAACATGATTCTTAATATTTAACAAAAAATTAGGGTTTGTTTAATGGGTAATTATTTATTCATTTCTAGCCAGGTGCTATTATTCATTCTTAGCATCTCCTAATGCAGTATTTTTCAACTTTGGCAACTTTAAGATGAAGACTTCAATTCCCAGAATTATCCAGCTAGCAAGGTTAGTAATTCTGGGAGTGGAAGTCCACTGAACTTAAACTTGTTAAGGTTGAGAAACACTCCCCTAATGCAGTGGTCACCAACCAATGGGCTGGGGACCACTGGTGGCTGGCGAGAAAATTTTGGTGGTCCACAGAGAAATATCACCCCCAAAGCACCCCCCAAAGCAATTATTCCTGGCTGCGCGAGAACACAAGTCTTGCATCACTTGCATTGCGAACAACACAAGGTAATGAGGGGAGAGGGGAAAGAGGGTGGGGGGAGCTTGCCACCACGCTGCTTCTTTCTGCTTCTTTCTTCTTCTGCTTCTGGCTGCACGCAAGGAAAGCAGCAAAAGTCTTTCTTTCTCTCCCCCAAACTCCACCAAAATGAGTCTTTGGGACCCTGCAAGGCATCCTGCTCCAAGATGCTGCACCGGCAAAGACTCATTTCTGGCGGAGTTTGGGGGAGAGAAAGGAAGACTTCTGCTGCTTTCCTTGCATGAAGCCAAAAGTCTCTCTCTCTCTCTCTTTCTTTCTCCCCCTGAGAACGGAGCTGGAGATGGTAAAGAATGATCAATCGGTAGGAAAATGGGGTGGGGAACTTTCCTGCAGACTTTTTGGGGGATTTTCCCAGGGTCTCTTCTGCTTTCTGCAGAGACTCTGGGAAAACGTCAGCAAGTCACCGTCAGTGAAAATTCATATTAGTGTCTGCGGGATTTAAAATTATGAGTTTGGTGGTCCCTGAGGTCCAAAAGGTTGGCGACACTTGCCCTAATGTGTTAGAATAAAACTTCCATAATTATCAAAAGATAGTCAGATTGAGGAAGTTATAACAGAGTATAAAGCTGTTAAGAATTTCACTTGGAAAACTTAAGTGTACATCAACTGACTGGTGTTTTATTTTACTGTACCCAGAAGGATCCAACGAAGCTATCTGACCAACAGAAAGCAGTCATAAAGGGACAAAACCCATATCCTATTTATGCAGCTCAAAATGTGAGGATGAATATTAAAACCAGTAAATTTGCAGGTATGAGGATAGGCCTGAAGTTGGATTGCAAAACAGTTAAAATCAAATGCAGTCTGAAACCATGCAAAGGTCATTTTTCTTCAGTTGGACAAAGCAAATGTGGAAATGAAGCCAAGAGGCAAAAAGATATTCTCTAAATTGTTGCTTTGGGGAAAATGGGAGGCGGAAGTGTAAATACAGTACATGAACTTGAGCTCCTGAACAAAAAAGGTGGGATATAAATCTAAGAAAGATATATATGGACTAAGAGAAGAAAATAGTAGTGTAACTAAGTTGGAGCATGTTCTTTCATTCATTTCTTTAGAATGGGTTGAATATACACCCTATGAATTTGGTATTCATAAATATGGGGCTTTTATACGCATGGAAGACTATGGCAGTAATTTTTTCATGGGATTATTGCTTGAGAAACATGAGGAGCCCAGAATCTGTTTCCTCCAAGGTAAGATCAGATGTATAAGCTGGTGATAAGGTAACTATTTTTTTTAACTAACCAACTGAAAAAAATATTACTCATGTAACACTTTGTTTATAGGGATTGTACGTATTGTAAATTGTTTAAATTTATTGTAAACTATTTTAATTTGCTATTTCTTCACTTCTGAGGGTTAGACATTTTATAAATGGAGACAGATGGAGATGGATACAATCAAGTGGCTGATTTGCCTGTGTGATTGCTGGCCCATGAAGGGCTATTTAATGGGTTCTTATTAGAAGATGGACTTTTTTAATTTTGTAAGTTGCCTGGAATCACCTATGTGTGAGTTGGGCAGCTATATAAATTTGTTTATTAAATTAAATGAATGATTGAATGAAATGAAATTATTTTTGGATATGAAAGGACACAGATTCTACATTTCTTAGCTTCCCACTCTTCTCTTAAATGAAACTCACTAGCAATAGTCTTCAACACTGCTGATCTAGAAATCCAGAGTGCATGCTATGATCACCACATCTAACAGGTGGGTTCAAAAAGCATTGTTCAGTCATCACTCAATTGCTGGTCTGTAATTGTCACAAATTTATTACTTTATAGCCAAGACTCTGATGCAAAGTGTTATTCCAATACACAGTTATTAAGTGCAGTGAAATTGTGCAGTCAAGATATACTGGGTCCATTTCCTTATTTCAGATAATGTTTGTTTTGCTTTTCATTGTGAGTTTGGATGCTTGGCAACTGATTCAGTTCATTTAATTGATAATGGTTCTATTTTGAAGAGTGTTGTATGGGTTATTGCTATACCTGTTTGGTCGGTATTATCACTTTTGATCTGTACTCAAATGTCAAGAGGTGTAAACCCTAAATATTCCATAATATGAAAACTCACCCAAGGTATTAGTGAATCAAAGGAAATAGTCTCAATTTGCTTCATCCTGTGCCTTAAAGTCTATATAGACTTTGAACCTACCGAGAGAATGTTCTTCTCATACCAATGCAGGTAGTCCTTGACTTACAACTGCAGTTGCGCCCAAAATTTTTATTACTAAATGAGTCAGTTAAGTGAGTTTTGCCCCATTTTATGGCCTTTCTTGCCATAGTTTTTAAGTGAATCACTGCAGTTGTTAAGTTAGTAACACAATTGTGAAGTGAATGGGACATCTCCATGACTTTGTTTGTCAGAAGTTCACAAACAGTGGTCACAGGACTCTAAGACACTGCAACTGTCATACAGAAGATATGAATCAGTTGCCAAGCATCCAAATTTTGATCATGTAACCCTGGGATGCTGCAATGATCATAGGGAGCCTCTGTGATGCAGTGGTTAGAGTGCAGTACTGCAGGCTACTTCTGCTGACTGCTGGCTACTTGCAGTTCAAATCTTACCAGGCTCAAGGATGACTCAGCCTTCCATCCTTCCGAGGTGGGGAAAATGAGGACCCAGATTGTTGGGGGCAATAAGCCGGCTCTCAGAGAGGGCTGTAAAGCACTATAAAGTGGTGTATAAGTCTTAAGTGCTATTGCTATTGCTTATAAGTATGAAAAATGGTAATAAGTCAATTTTTCAGTGCAATTGCAACTTCGAACAGTCACTAAACGAATAGCTGTAAGTCAAGGATTACTTATGTAGTAGTTGGGTCTTGGCATCATCACTATGAATCAATTTTCGCTGCCCCTTGACTTCACTAAAGGTAGTGTGCAGGGATGATTACAGAGATCCATAAATTATGCTCAGTTGAATCTTCAGAAAAAGTTCTGCCAGTTCCTAGTGATTTGAAAAATCTCTTTGCTTCACTTCTATTGCAGGAATTTGGGCCAGTGCCTTTGCGGGCAATATAGATGACATGTGGGAAGATGCAGAGATTTCTCAGCTGAAATTCACAGAATCTGTGAAAGATGCCATCAGAATTGTAGGTAAAGGATATTATTTTCAGTATTTTTTTAAAAAAATATGTGCGAAACATTTTTCTAATTAGGATTTCTCTCTTTCTACTGACCAAACAGATACTGCTTATTGCAATTATTATTTTCTGTTAAAAGCGCCTTTCTTGTGTTTATATAATATACAATGGAAGCTGTTCCTGTAAACATTTGGCGTTTCTTCCTTCCACAATCAAAAGCTGTTCAGGGTAAAAGTCCTTTTACCCTGAACAGAAAAAATAATAGAAAATAGAAAAAATAAATAGAAAACAATAGTTTGCCTGCATAGTATGATCTTATTTTGAGGGCACCACCATTTTTGAATTAGAGTATGATCAATATGAGGCTGATATAATAACATACATATATCAAACATTTCCCATATAATTTGGATGTGAGGTGTGGAAATTAATGAGATGCAGAGAACCTTGAAGGTTGCTTCAAGATGGTTACCTTCTAGTACTTCCTGTCAAAGTGCATTGTGCAGCTATTCCATCTTTACAGATTGTCTTTGGTAAGAAACATAGTATTAGAAACTATTTTTTTACAACTAAAAATTGTTTCTGTTATGTTCGCCGATCGGTCCCAGGGAAGACGCGAGACTCAGTGACTTCTAAAGCTCTTTTATTTCATGCTTAGATCGGCTTGCTTGGCTTCGGATCGGTGGCGGTTTATATTGAACTTCGCTCAGAGCCGCGGCCAATGACATCGTTTCGAATCTCCCGCGATCAGTTTCCTCCAATCGCGGGTGATTCGCAATGGGCCAATCACTGCGGCTTACTCAGCCAATCCGAGCGCCGTGCGCCCTGGCCAATCAGGACGGAGGGTTACAAGAATGCTGATGTAGCAATACAGAACAGTTTCCATAAAAAGTGCACCAATGCAAAAGGAAATTGCTTGGAATAACTTTTTCTACAGTTAGATTTCTTACTGTTCATTCACAATAAAAAATGCTGCCATTTAAATTTGCATAAGTTTGCAGCCTTGTATATACTGATTGAAAATTTTAACTGAACTTTGTTTCCCCTGAGATTCTTGAAAAAAGGATCGTGTTTTCTTGAAATAACATGCACATTTCAAGTATAACTTCTTAGCATCTCTTTTTCATTAACTTTGGCTCAGTGAGGTTAGGCTGGCATGTCTGTGCGGCTGGCACTGTTTCAAGTTAATGGGGCTTATATACATAAACCACAATAATGTGCTTTATTCTATACACAAGTGGTGAAGTTGGCTGTGTAATGGAATAATGCAGGAATCTCCAAACTCGGAAACTTTAAGACTTGTGGCGTTCAACTCCCAAAATTGCCCAACCAGCATGACTAGCTGAGGAATTCTGGGAGCTGAAGTCCACAAATCTTAAAGTTGCCAAGTTTGAGGACCCCTGGAATAATGTAATGGAGGTACTTCAACTATGCAGCCTTTTGTCTTGCAGATGAACTGTTGGGTTCTCAGTCTCTTGACCCTTCACTGAAACAATGTCAAGGTATCATGCCAGGAGGAGTCTTTACACATTTATTTAGCAATTTAGTTAAATCACGAATCACCACAGGGGAAAATTTTAACTTTCTTCATGGACTGCATCTTCATCGGAACTATATGAATGATCAAGAATTTGTAGCATGGAAAGGTAATGCTGTGCATAAGAACTTTTGCTATAAATAAGTGAATTTTGGGTTACAGACTTTCAAATTTCAAATAGATGCTACCCAAGTTTATGCTGCTTTATAAGAGCAAGTAACGCAGTTTGATTTCTGCGATCATTATAGTAAAAGTTCTAACTGGCTTTAACTTCATTCTGCTCTGGGTAGAGTGAACTGAAGTAGTATCAATACAAGAATTCTGATGAATTCTATTTTCCAACTGAGAAAATCTATATATGGACAAATCAAGGCATTTTATTATTTAACTGGTTCTTTTGATGTAAGCGGGGGAGGGATGTCTACAACCACCACAGTCAGTACACTCTACCTGTGGGTTGCTGATGAAATACTAGAAAGGGAAATAATTCCCTGGCTTTTAGTAGATCCTAATCAAGAAAGAAAAGGAGTGGAGAATTATGAAACAGGTAGAAATCCAGAGAAGGAAGAAAAGGAAATGGAAGCTGTGAGTTTGAATGTGGGAAATGTTCAGAAATGGAGGATGTTCCTGGCAAAGAATGGAAGAGGAGGAGAGGAGAGGATGGGAAAAGTACCTGAGGGTTCCAGAGGTGGGAGGAAGATATAAAATGGATAAGGGATTGCTTTGAGGGTTGACATGTGAATCAATGATTCCCAGGCCATTAGGAAAGCCACCAAACGTGGCTTTAAATCAGAAGAATGTGAAGAAGAATTAAGTTTAAATCTTTGATGTTTAACATCCATTTATATCTTCTCACTGGCTGTGGGAAATCAACTGTCAATATGACTTCATTCAGTGGTGGTATGCTACCGGTTCGGACCGGTTCAGCTGAACCAGTAGTTTAAAAAAAAAGCCTCCAAGGATCAGCTGAGAGAAGAAAGAAGGGAAAAGTGCAGGATCAGTCCTCCCACCCACCCCTGTGCTTTTCTCTTTTTTATCCTCTCAGCTGATTGGCACTGCAGGCCTCAGCGGATATGGGAAAAGCTACATGTGTTAGGTATGCGTGCACACACCTGTGATCACTGGATCAGTAGTGGAACAGGTAGGATCCCACTGCTGACTTCATTCTAGATTAAACATTCTAATCTGATTTGAACCCCTAAACTCAACCCTTAAGGATTGAGCCAATTAACTGAACCAACCCAGCCAACTCAGCAGTTTAAAAGCATGCAAATGTGGGTAGATAAATAGGTACCATTTTGGTAGGGAGTTAACAGCATTCTGTGCACCTTGGCATATCGTCATGCTGGCCACATGACCACAGAAGTGTCTTTGGGCACCGCTGGCTCCCTTGGCTAAGAAATGGAGGTAAGTACCACCCTCTAGATTTGGAAACGATTGGACAGGGAAAACCTTTACCTTTATGTCTTAGGGTTGAACTAATTAGCTATTCCATGCCTTAGGATTGAGCTAAACTGCAACTCAGCAAAACTGTAATTAACATCTAAATACAGGTTGAGAATCCTAATAACCCCAATTTATCAAGGAGCAGTGTGACATGAGGGCAATGCAATTCTTATTGTTTCCAATTAAACTGTTTTTGTTTTTCATACGAACATACAGCATATTGATTTTCTTTTTAAGTTAACCTTTGGAGAATCTGTCTGTTTAAGTAATAATGGTTTTGGGATATTTCAGGGACACATCTGGATGCTGTACCTAATCAATTGACACCTGAAGAAAGCAGTCTGCATCTAGTGGATGGGGGATTTGCTATCAATTCCCCCTTTCCATTGGTGCTTCAGCCAGAGAGAGATGTGGATGTGATCTTCTCATTCAATTATTCTTGGCAAGCTCCCTTTGAAGTGAGCATTATAAATAAACTTAAAAGTAACGGCTTAGAATCCTCTGAATCCACTATACCATATGTGGATATTGGTCTTTAGTTCTAGTTTATGACAATGCTTTATTACCTGACCAATGATAATTTCTGGGTCAAACCTTGAATAACCCAGGTGCAATGACAAATATATTATTAATTAATTAATTTGTGAGGTCAAGGATTGAGTCTGAGATTTTATATGTACAAAGCACAAGTTTTGTGCCCTCGATGGATTAAGTGGGACTCTGAAATTTACTGGATTAATATGACTTGTTATTTAGGAACTATATTTGATTTGATGCAATTCGAAATTGCATTAGCCTTTTTTGCTGCTGTTTCACACCACTGAGTGATAGTTGGTTTATTTCTTTCTTTAATTTTTCACATTTTTGAATAGCACTAGCAATAGCATTTACACTTATATACCACCTTTTAGTGCTCTAAGCGGTTTACAGAGTCAGCATATTGCCCCTAACAACCTGGGTCCTCATTTTACCAACCTTGGAAGGATGGAAGGCTGAGTCAACCTTGAGCCTGGTGAGATTCGATCTGCTGAATTGCAGGCAGATGGCAGTCAGCAGAAGTAGCCTGCATTTCTGCATTCTAACCACTGCACCACCAAGGCTCTCTTGAACCGTCCATCTCCTTCAATGCTAACTGTTATGCCAAGTTCTGTCACATCTAATGTCCTTCATCATGCAGACAGTCCTTAACAATGGCAATTTGGACTGGAATTGCTATTGTTAAATAACAATGTAAAGTGTAATGTCATGTGATTGCACTCCTTAGCAATGACAATTCCAGCACTCTAGGCAAATAAAGTTACAGATGGCAATCACTTGACTGTGGAGACTCTGTGATGGCCACTTGTTCAGCAATGTGGCATGGTAGCTGAATGAGTAATCATTGCCTGAAGACCACTTGTCTTCCCTGCAATTGGTTTGTTTCCTAAAGAAAGAACTCTGCATTTGTTTCTGTTATTTTTGAATCTTTTTATAAGGGTATTAGCCATCGTGCTCAATTTTCTCTCATATGTAAAGTTATGGATTAACTGACATTCACTTCTTGGGATTGTACCACACCAAAACTGCACTACTCATGCTAAAGTGTCAGATTGAGTCAACACTAGATCATGGGAGGAAGAGTGATATCTACTTCTTTCTGTGAATAGTTCTCAGTTTGTTTTCAGTCTTACCCTGGAAATGATCTCTTTGGCAGCTCTTTCTGCTGAAGCTCATTAGCTTGCTTTCTCAAAGAATGGTGGCAGTTACAAATATTTGGTTAATGCACTACTGTTTCAACATAATAAATTATTTTTTTCCACCAACTAGGAGTTTATTGCATTGTAAACTATACTGCTAAGATGTTTTGTTGGGTTAAAACTCAGTTGTGTTCATTTTCAAAATATCAACATAGCTGATTTTTAATTTAGTATATATTTGGAACTTTTCCTTATCTCATAATCAGGTCTTGCATCAAGCACAGAGATATTGTGAAGAAAGAGGCATCCCTTTCCCACACATTGCTGTGACTGATAGTGATAAAAAGCAACCAAAGGAGTGTTACATGTTTTTGAATGCTACAGATCCCAGGGCCCCCATTATCCTTCATTTCCCCTTGGTGAACGAAACATTTAAAAAATACAAAGCGCCAGGTAAGCAATGCATTGATTGATTGATTGGTTGATTGAGTATATGCCATCAAGGTTGTGTCAAATCATGATGGCTTCACAAATTGACAGGGTGATCTGTCCCCAACCTGCCTGGTCAAGTTTCCAATGGTGCACTCATCACAGCTATAATTGAGCCGTCCACTTTGCTATTGGTTGTTCTCTCTTTTTTTCCCCTAGAAAAATTGGGACTTTGAATAATGTGTCTAAAATATGATAATTTTAGCTTGGTCACATGGGCCTTGAGTGAGAACTCTAGATTTCTTCTGTGCTCTGGGCTTGTTTTCTTAGCCATTTATGGTGTTCTCAAGAGTCCTTTCTAACACCAATGTTCAAAGTGTCAATCCTCTGTCCTGCTTTTTCAAAGTCCAAATTTTATTTCCATAGTCTCCCCAAGAAAACCATTTATTCCACAATTCTGTATTATTCTGGAAGATTGATTGATTATGTACCTTTAAGTCATTTTTGATTCCTAGCATCCACATAGATAGATATTCACCAGGATGGTCTAACCTGATCTTTATGGTGCACTCATTGCTACTGTAAGTGAAACCCATCCATCTTGCTGTTGATCATTGTCTTTTTCTGTTTTCTTCCACCTTTCTTGGCATTATAGGCTTTTCCAGAGAGCTAAGTCTTTGCATAGTGTATCAGAAGTATAATAATTTGAGCCTGGTCATTTGTGCCTTGAATAAGAACTCTGGTTGATTTATTCAGTGGTGCACAGTATTCTCATGAATCTTCTGAGCTCAAATTTAAAAGTGTTAATACCCTTGTATTGTCTTGTAGGACATAAGATTAATAGATTAACAGATTAACAGAGTTGGAAGGGACCTTGTAGGTCATCTAGTCCAACCCCCCCCAAGCATACCCTATACCATTTTTGACAGATGGCAGTCCAGTCTCTTCTTGAAAGCTTCCAGTGATGAAGCTCCCACAACTTCTGAAGGAAAGCTGTTCCATTGGTTGATTGTTTTCACTGTCAGAAAATTACAGTGAATGGGACGATTATTTTTAGTTTACTAAAATCATGGAAGGTCCAAGTTATTGATATATTAAATTACATTGATTAGTTACAGATATTAAGTAAAATTCCATACTACATTATAAATTAGTTTTCAGTAATTCTAATGTTTTTATAAATAAAAATACTTTTATGCATAAAAATAAATTGGAACTAAAAATGCAGGATTACTTTGTGTTGTTTTTATGTTTTGAAAAGTATATGGAATACTAACTGATTTTCTTTATCTTTTTTCACAGAATGTGCAAATTCAGTTCTATGTTACTTTATGGGGTATTGGTGTATATTGTATCTATATGTATGTTTGTACAAGTTTGTGTATGTATGCAAGGCCTCCATGAGAGATGTAAAAAGGTCAGGAATGGCAAATACAACACTGAAGATTTGCCTCTTGTTATACATGGGACATAATTAAAAGAAAGGAAGAGGGCTGTGATTATACAGTCAACATCTTGACTTTTTAACTCGCTCTGTCTTCACCCCTTGTATGGAAGTGTGTGTAATGCATTCCTTTTCCTAAAAGACTTTTAGAACCTTGCAACTTTCTTAACTGTTATTTTTCAATGTTCTTCTGAGTTAACACAAGTAATTGTGATTTAATGGCAAATCTAGGCAAACTGCTCACTTTTTCTTCTCTTGTTCAAGGAATAAAACGTGAGACTGAAGAGGAAAAATCTTTTGGTGACTTCCAAATATACACAGAAGATAGTCCTTATAGCTCCACAAACCTCACCTATGAGCCAATACAATTTGATAGATTGCTGCAATTAAACTGTTACAATATTATCAACAACAAGGATACCATTATAAAAGCTCTCACTATGGCCATGATGCGAAAGAAATTCAAGAAAAAGAGAAAATGACACACAGACGCACACACGTAATTAGACTAGTTGGTAAAAGCTGGATGACTAAGTACCAAAATGCTTAAGTAGTTGAGAAGATATATGGAGCTGATGCTTTTCTAAGAAACTTTAAAATTTGGAGTTTTTGCAATGATGGCAGAGGCAAGCCAACTGTATAAGCAAGATTGCGCAGATGCAGTTTTAATAGTAGCAGTATTAAAAGGTGTATTAATTGTGTGTCTACTTTTCTTGTATTCTTCCTATATACTACTTATTCAGATTCCAATCAAATGCAACAGGAAGCTAGAGGCTTAACCTAAACATTTAAATAATAAGTATTTTTAAAGGAGAAAAGTTGTTTTCCTCCCCACAATATTAATCAAAGCACGTCTTGTGCTAAGGTCAACCTGTAACCGTATCTTTAGCAAGAATTTTGTTGGACACGCATACGCAGACAATTATGGGGGGAGAACCTCTCAGTTGCTGACAGAACTATTTTACAGGAGTCACAAGTACCTCTCATAAATGGGTGCTTTATCTGCCTTTGCCATTTTGCAAGTGGCAAAATGCAGATCTTAATCCAACTAGGTTTTGTGTGGAAAAGGAGTACCTCCGTGGGCAGAATCCTAGATTGTAAGTATAAGCTGGAAATGCCTTAATGAGTGGCCTGTTCTTTTAAAGGTTCTAGAATGCTATGGGTGCTTTGATACTATCTTTCTTTGCAGTCATTTTGTGCTCAACTATTGGCAAGTCACCAAACCACCTGCTCTGCCTCCTCAATTTTGTGCCAAAGGGAACTCCTTCATAAAAACAGCAAAATATAACTATTTCTCAAATGTTTGCCATGGTGACCTACTTCCAAGGTTGGTAAAATGAGGACCCAGATTGTTGAGGGCAATATGCTGACTCTGTAAACCCCTTAGAGGGGGCTGTAAAACACTGTGAAGCGGTATGTGTCATGCCCCTGGTGGAGACTGAATCTGAGGGAGAGGAGGAACAGCTGACAGGGAGTGGAAGTGTGGCTCCAGAGGTTGTGGAGGAGGCTGGGGAAGGGCAGAGGCCAGCTGGGAAGTCAGAGAAGGACCCAGGCCCATCCCCTATCCATCCTAGGGCACGCAGGGAGGAGAGGATGAGGGAGAAACGTGGTCTACTGGAGAGGAGAAGGCCTTGATCCTTTTCATGGGCTGCAGCTGTGACAACTGGATAAGAGGACGGACATGAGTATGGGCGAGTGCTGGAAACAGTGTGGAAATATCTCTAGTTTATTGTTCCTCTCTGAGTTTGGCATCCTTCCCAATGTGTGTTCTGATATCTGTGGACATCTTCAAGTCCTTATCTTGCCTGGTTTGTGTTGTTTTTTACTCTATAATTTAAATGACATTTCCTCCTTCTTGTAACTGCTTGTGTGGGAGTTGTTTTGTCTCCATTCAAGGATATTTGGAGCTTGGAAGGAAAGTGGAGGAATAAAAGGGGCTTCACCTGTTTTTTGTGACTGTGTTTATTTTGTATCCCACCCTGGGTCATCACAGTATGTAAGTCTAAGTGCTATTGCTATAATTTAAAAAAATGCTATTGCAATTGTTAGTTAAAACCTGTAAGGTCTAGTACAGGTAAGGTCTTGATTTAGGACTATCCAAAATTTATGTCGCTAAGTGAGACATTTGTTAAGTGAATTTTGCTCCATTTTACACCTTTCCTGCCGCAGTTGTTAAGTAAATCACTGCAGTTGTTAAGTTCCAAAAGATGATCACATGACCATGAGATACTGCAATCGTCATAAATATGAGTCATTGTCAAGTGTCTGAATTTTGATCATGTGACCTTGAGTATCCTGCAATGGTCATAAGTGTGAAAAATGGTCATACATCACTTTTTTCAGTGCTGTTGTAACGTCCAATGGTCACTAAATGAAGGATTGTAAATCAAGGATTACCTGTACAGCAGTTTCAGTATAAATACAGTACGAAGTAATATATATGTAATATTGAAGTAAATTGTTATGTATATTAAAATTTATCTAGATCAAGCCAGTAACTTTACCAAAATCCATGGCTATCATTCTGAGCCAGATATTTGAGAGAATTCAGAAAGATCAGAAATTTGAGAGTTGACTCTAATTTGATAGCATATAATCCCTCAATCATTCAATCAATCGCATTTGAATGATGCAGAAGAAACACAACACAAGATAAATGTAAATTAATATCTGAATTCAGGGTACTTGTAAGTTTGTATTTAGGTGCTTTTAATTTATTTAAGAAAATTTATATGGCTGCCCAACTCGCTCATATGACTCCAGGTGGCTTTCAAGGATAAAAACCCAATAAAGAGGCAATAGCTCCCCACCCCCTGGCAACAACAGCCAAATGAGCCACTTGTTGGGTTCCTTCCCACTCTGGGGACCCCAGGCCCATTGGCAAACCAGGTCTTCAGGATCTTGCGAAAGAGTGTTAAAGTGAGGGTCAATCTTATCTCTGCAAGGATGATGGTCCACAGGAAGGGAGCCACCATGGAGAAGGCCCTTCTTCTTGGTTCCGCTAGATGGACCTCCTTAGGAGAAGGGACCCATACATTCCCTGCCTCTCTGCTCTGGTGGGTTGAGTAAATGTGACCAGGAAATGATGGTCCTTCAAATAACCTGGTTCCAAACCATGTAGGGCTTTGAAGGAGACCAGGAAGCAAATTGACAATCAATGCAGCTCTTGCAGGAGAGATAACACATGTGCACATCTAGGTCTGTACCAAACCATGTGGGCCATCACATTTTGAAGCAATTGATCTTTGATATCTTTGAGAATGCTTGAATGACTTGGCCCTGTTCTGTGCTCCAGCTGACATATTCTGAATTCTCCTTGTGCACAGTGATAGCTCTACAATTAACATTTGGGGAATCTTCTGCATTTACACCTGGTAGGAGTCTGTAATTATTATGGCAGAGAATAGGACTGGACAGTTTTTCACCTATTAAAAAAATCATATTTAAACTGTTTGTATAATGACACATTTCAATAACATGTGATATCATCCAGAATTATTGTCACTACTTTCATTGCTGTTGTAAATTTGAACGGTCACTACACATTGTAAGTCGAAGATTATCTGTATTCATAAATTATCTG